ATACATACATACATACATACATACATACATACTTACATACATACATACATACATACTTACATACATACATACATACATACATACATACATACATACATACATACATACATACATACATACATACATCCGTACATCCTTATCTGTTCATTGTTATGCAGATGACTTGCAGCTCTATATCAAAATAGATTCTACAGGTTCATCACTCTCCTCTCTCACCACCTGTCTTGAAGAAGTAAAAGCCTGAGTGAATGCCAAATTTCTCCAATTAAACACATCATAAACAGAAGTTATTTTGGTTGGTACTCCACATCAGACTCACTCAACATCTATCTCTACAATAATCTTCTCTGGCCAAAACATTCCCTTTGCTGATACAGTGACTAATCTTGGTGTAAGCTTTGATTCTCAGCTTACATTTGAATCTCATATTAAAAATATTTGCAAGACTTCATTTTTTCATCTGAAAAACATCTCCAAACTCCGTCCATTACTCTCCTTTTCCGATGCTGAAAAACATGTCCATGCTTTCGTTTCCTCAAGACTGGATTACTGCAATGCACTTTTTTATGGAATTCCATCCAAGCACATTCAAAAACTTGAATATGTACAGAACAGTGCAGCCAGGATTCTGATGAAGCAAAGGAAACATGATCACATCATCCCAATCCTTAAATCTCTGCACTGGCTTCTCATTTCGCTCCGTGTTGAATACAAGGTTTCCTTACTCACCCACCAGTCCATTCACAGCAATGCTCCACACTATCTTAAAGAACTGCTCACTGCTCAGACATCAACATGATCCCTCCTCTCCACAAATTCCTACAAGCTCCACCCTCCCCGGACAAAACCGTGCACCATGGGTGACAGGGCCTTTTGCTCTTCTGCTCCTTGTCTGTGGAACAACCTCCCTGCCCATCTAAGGATACCCCAGACTACAGAAAGTTTTAAGAAAAGTCTGAAAACCTTTTTATTTAAAAGATTTTATAGTGTTTAAAAGTATTTTAATCCTGCAGGGTTTTTTTTTTTTTTTTTTTTTTTTTAGCTTTTAACATTTTTTTGTCCTTTTTTTAGTCCACATTTTATTCTCTTTAGATATTTTATATTGTAGCACTTTGAGATGGTAAAATATAAAGTGCGGTACAAATTGAATAAATTATTATTATTATCCGTACATCCATCTATCCATCCATACATCCATACATACGTACATCCATGAATCCATACATACATACATTCATCCATACATACATACATTCAAACATA